GCTAATGATAGTTATATAAGAGCAGATGCATGCTGGTGCAATAAACTGTATGTTTTATGTCCAATGGATGATGATCTGATTAGTCGACTAATCGCAAAATTAATCGGTGACTAGTCGACTATCAAAATAATCGTTTGTGGCAGCCCTAGTGCGCTACAACAGGAGTATTTTAATCCCCATTCCTCGTTTGGCATCCCCGCAGCAGAATCACTAACAGAAGAAAACACTGAGCTGCTTTTCCTTTCACTCCACTGCACTCCTGAAGCCTCAGATGACTTTACAATAAAATTAGATTTGGGCAGACACACCATAGACTAGTGCACAGTGTAAAAGATTCTGATTCCCTCCCCCGTGGAAATCTGTTGGAATCAAAGAAGCTTCAGAGTGAAGATGGAAACAGTAACAGTTCTGTCTGATATCAAACTGTTTGTTCATTTTTAAATGCAGAAACATGTTTTTGATTGTGATTGTCAAAAAATAAATAAATAAATCATGTTTTCAGTACTGAGAAGACCAAAGAGAATAGAGAATAATCTGAAATCAAATTACAATATAACTTGTTATCTACCTCATAATATTAGGGTTATAACCATACTACCTGATAAATTTCCAGTTTAGTTATAGAGAACCTGTCACGCTTCTCTTCACTGTAGTTTAGTAATGCTTTGTTTCAGACAGCTTTTCCTACCCTTGGCTGTGTATGATGTTGCAGATATGGCCATCTCAGGCAGAGAGCTCTGGCTGTGAGCACAGAAGCCCCTCCCACCTGCCATTTAAACCTTCTGTTTATGAGAGGCGGCCAATCAGAAGAAAGTTCAATTGAAAGAAAGATCCTATTAAAATGGGAATGTGTTAAATAGTTTGTTTCAGAGAGAAGGTGAATTTAGGAGCTGCACCAAGTCCTGGTACAGGACACATAAGGATTATTACAAACTGTGAATCATGCAAAGCCACTCTAGCAGAGTCTAAAGGGGACTTATAGCAACACGAGGCAGGTAGCCAGGTAATGTTTCTCAACTTGAAGGTGAGCAACTGAAAAACAATTGTGCAGTGGGAGTGAAGTATACTGTGGAATGACACAAGCGAGTAGTAAATACATTAAGCTGTTCACTACTGGGCAAAGCAATGCACAGCAAGTCAATCAGTTTATATGTAGCCAAGGCTAAAGAATAAAAACATGGGGCTGTTAATGTGGTCACCCATATAACCATATAAATAAGCAGCAAACAGTGTTGCTGCTGTTTTTCATTATCATTTACCAATGTTTGCCCAGTGACCATAGACTGGTGGCATTTTCTGCAGCTGAGTCAGCCTGTCGACAGTTGAGAAACTGTTTCCATGGAGCAGCAGGCCTCAGCATTGTTCACGGCCACATGCAGAGCTGCAACATTGAGCCCTAATCTAGATGAACGTATTCGAGCTTCTTAATGAAACTGTCAAACACGGTTAATCCTTTGTTTATGCAGCAACACGAGCCAACTGCTGTGTAATCACTGCACAGTCAAACCCTTCAATGCTGCAAATATCTGTGATATCAGTCCAAGTTGCGCCAAGGGTCAGACTAATCCTGAGTACCTGTTATCATGAGAAGTGAGCATGTGCAAACTGATAACGGAGAAAGATGAAACAGGAAAACAACCACAGCAGGTGGTGTGTGCAAAATGTC